CCCCCCCCCTCCGCCCCCGACTTCATCGCGCACTTATCATATAAAATAGTATACGCAACACGTGTGGACAGCAGGCGGTATCACTCAGGCGGCTGCGCCGCCCTCGTGAGTAACCGCCTGGTTTCCGCACTAGTTGCGTAATGTACTATTATTTTTGTATTCGAAATATTTAATTTCCATCATTTATGATGGAAAAACGCGATATGTCTTGTGATGCACCGTTGTCATATAAATCTGACAATTGCGAGTTTATTGAATGCTTCAGAAACTAACTGATTTGCCAGTAACAATGCATTTCATGTGAATTAGTCACTCAAAATTTCAAGATTTTTTCCGTGAAATTTGAACATTAATTTTTAGACCTTTGCATTTGTCGTCGTCAGTGCATGTTACACTAAGGGAGACCGAGGCAAAGCGGGGTGGCTAAGACAAAGAGGCGGGTATCAGATCTTCTATCATACTTATATTCCTTTCTAGCAATCATTATTCACATTCTAAAATTACCAACTCGCGTCTCCAACGTATTACAGTTGGGGACACAGTGGGGTAGTGTCCAAAATTTTTTAAATAATTATAAATGTTGTTTCTTTGTTTTTTTACTTTTGAATCTCCAAAAAACGACAGAAAAAATCTGAAGTCGGTAGGGAAGGTCACGATGAATCCATCAGGGGCATTCGTCTCCATTGAATTTCCTGAAGGCAGTTAAAGCTTTCATTTCGTTATTCAGGTGGCGCCACCAGCGCTCCGCGCATGCGCATTTGAATGACATTATAACGAGGGCCCACGTGTTTCAATTCGAACTAACCCATCCTAACCAAAACGAGAAATAGAAATTGAAGGGAAGAATAGATCATTAAAGTAGTGTAGAATATTGAGCATGATGTTGATTTCTAATAATTCAAACTGGTAAAGCGAATCAAGTTAATGTAGTAGTTATTATTTAAGTTTATATATTATTTAACGGTCAATGTATTATTTATAATTCAAATACCCTCACACGAGAGCAATATAAAGTACAATTGGCTGATTTAATCATCAAACAGCATACATATTTACATAAAATAATAAATTAATGAATAATTATGCACATCAATCATTTTCTGTTGGTTTTCTTGAATGTTTTTTGATATTTTTTCCTTGCTTCATCCAAAGCAGGCCTGCGCATATGTGATGACTTTCCAACTAGATGTCTGTTGATCTCTGCGAACCATTTGGGAATGAAATCAGCGATAATCAATTTTATGGCTTGCGAGTGGAGCTCCTCTCGATATTGCTCACATACAACCCAATTGCTGGGAACAGCAGACTTGACTCGCTTGTGTAGAACCGCGCTGAGTTTCTTGTAATGATAAACCGCATGCATAATTCTCTTCAATGCCTTGGTAAGCCTCAAGAATGCTTCATCAAACAGAGATTGTTTATTGTTGGCTACTCGGGGTCGACTGAAAGAAATCAGACAATTGCAACACTGATTCTGCATCAACTGTTGTGAGATACGATCCGCAGTACTACTTAAAGTGACGCTCGGGCCGAAACTGTTCTCGTTATCTCCAGACTCAGCAGGCTCATCAAAATTTCTGATATTCTCGAGTTCCTCATCGATATCAATGCCTAAAAACTCCTGGTCGTCGTCGTCCAAGCAATCCTCTAAAGTGAACAGACCCTGGTGGAAAAAACTCCTTAAATCCTATTGGAAGAAAGAAGGGTAACTGGAAATAATGACGTTATTGCCGTTGACCCATTATTTCCGATTCAGGTTAGTACCGCAATGCTGACACGTATGGAAAAATCCAATAGGAAAAGCTAGCGAATTAGCTAGAAAATTCTATTGGGATTCTGGAGAAAGAAATTCAAAATCTATTGACTTTTCCGTAAGAAATATGCAATAGAATCAGTGCAAAAAACTAATAGAATTTTCCAATAGAATTTCAGTAGAAATCCGATAGATTTTCTCCAGAATCCCAATAGAATTTTCTAGATAATTCGCTAGGTTTTCCTATTGGATTTTTCCATACGTGTCAGCATTGCGCTACTAACCTGAATCAGAAATAATGGGTCACCGGCAATAACGTCATTATTTCCAATTACCCTTTTTTCTTCCAATAGGATTTAAGGAGTTTTTTCCACTAGGGGAAGTTTCCCATCGCAAATATTTTCACAATTTGCCCCAACTGACTTCTCATCACTCAAATCGGTAATCAGTGCGGACTTATAGATGCCTTGGACTTGTTGCCATTTCCAAGTCCAAGGCATCTATAAGTCCGCATTGATCACCGATTTGAGTGATGAGAAGTCAGTTGGGGCAAATTGTGAAAATATTTGCGATGGGAAACTACTGTTCACTTTAGAGGATTGCTTGGACGACGATGACCAGGAGTTTTTAGGCATTGACATCGATGGGGAACTCGAGAATATCAAAAATTTTGATGAGCCTGCTGAGTCTGGAGATAACGAGACCAGTTTCGGCCCAAGCGTCACTTTAACTAGTACTGCGGATCGTATCTCACAACAGTTGATACAGAATCAGTGTTCTAATTGTCTGATTTCTTTCAGTGGACCCCGAGTTGCCAGCAATAAACAATCTCTGTTTGATGAAGCATTCTCGAGGCTTACCAAGGCATTGAAGAGAATTATGCATGCGGTTTCTCATTACAAGAAACTGAACGCGGTTCTACACAAGCTAGTCAAGTCTGCTATTCCCAGCAATTGGGTTGTATGTGAGCAACATCAAGAAGAACTCCACTCGCAAGCCCTAAAATTGATTATCGCTAATTTCATTCCCAAATGTTTCGCAGAGATCGACAGACATCTAGTTGGGAAGTCATCACATATGCGCGGGCCTGCTTTGGATAAAGCAAGGAACAAATATCAAAAAACATTGA